GGTTGGAGATTCATGATCCTTGAGGTCCCTTCCAACCCTGGCAATTCTGTGATTCTGTGATTCTGTAAGGTTAGGCCAAGTATTAGGCTTAGGCTTAGAGTTAGGGTTCAGGTTAGGGTTAGCTTCAGGGTTAGGGTAAATTTAAGATCTGAGTTTGGGGTTTGTTAAGTATTTTGTTTAGGGTTATTCATAGGGTCCAGATAGGGAAACTTGAGCAATGTGGACACAAGCCCATGAGGATGCAGGATGGCTGAGGGATGTCATGAGGTTGCTGGGTGCAGGATTAGGGTTTGTGATATGGTTAGGGTGATACTTTTAGGGGTAGGTTAATAGTTGGCTACAGTTGATCATTGGAACTGAACTGAGAAACTTGGGCAAGGTGGAACTTCACCCATGGAACACTATGGGATGAGCAGGGGATGACACAGAGCCGTGGGTGTGGGGTCATCCATTGAAGCACCAGCAGGAGCTGGGTTTCCCCAGCATACATCCCTGCTGCTCATTAGCTGCCTTCGTTAGCGCTGCAGGAAGGGAAGCACGCCCTGCCCGGAGCCTTGTTGTGGGTGAGACTGGGGAAGGAGCAGCGGCTGTAGCGGCACAAGTGGATGAAGGGAAACCACACGGCAGGGTGTGTGTGTTAGGGCAAACAGGGAAATTAATCCCGGTTAATTGTTAAATTGGCTTCGTTATCTCCTGCTAACCCTTGTATGAGCACCCGGCAGGCACTTGCTGCAGTTGGCGAGTCGGGAGCATGCATCCCCTGCTTCTTTGGGTCATGCTCTTCTGCTCCTGGGAGCTGGGAAAGGAAGAGGAGGGACCAGGGATCTGTAGTGGGGTTGGTGTTGGAGTTGGGTTGAGGTTGAGGTTGGGGCTAAGGTTGGAGTTGGAGATTGGGGTTGAAATAGGGGTTGGGGTCAGGGTTGAAGTTGGGGTTTGGTTTGGATGGGGTGGTGTAATGATTAGGGTTGGGATTGGGGTTTGGGTTAGGATCAGGATTAGGGTTGGGGTTAGGGTTTGGATTTAGACTGGTTAGAGTTAGGATTATGGCTGGAAGGGGCCATCAGAGACCGAGTTGCCTCTGGGAGGGAGCAGAGTGCGGGTGAGCTGGGAAGCACCGCTGTGTTGCACGGTGCTCGGTTCTGTGCCGTGCGCCTTGCA